ATTCCATGTTGTAAAAGTTAAATGTCGTACCATTTCTCCCCTTACATTGTAATTACTCCTCTACATTCAACCAACTGTCTTGATCCGTGAATTAGTTTAGTTGGAAGTAGTTAGGTGGTCTTACTCAGATCAAAAACACAAAGCTGTAAAGAGCTATATGTTCAGTTCAGACACCTTGCCCTGCCCAGAAGACAGGATCACAACTTGCTAAAAGATGGGATGAAGATGAGTGAAAGGTAGATTACGAGTTGACCGCTGACCTCATTCTTCCACCTCAATTAAACTGTGTGTGTGTGTGTGTGTGTGTGTGTGTGTGTGTGTGTGTGTGTATGAGAGAGAGAGAGAGGGAGAGAGAGAAAGAGAGAGCCACAAAAGTATTCCTCATAAAATCTTGAGCTACTTTAGAGACTTATCTTAAATGTACAGAGGCCAGCACTTCCCTGCCTGCGATGGGGAGGTCACTCTTCTACTCTGCAGGATGATCTTCCCCAGTCTCCTCCAAGCCATAGCAGAGTAGTTGCTTGAATCCTGGAAACATTTATTTTGATGTCCTTTAAATGTAACTGTTTTACTTAAGAAGACAAAGCATGAACATTGATAGTCACTTGAAAACACTTTCAGTCAGAGAGGATAAAACAGGTCCCTCTTTTCACTTCTTTACCTTATATTTAAAGTAGACAACTAAGCTTTTAATTTCATACCAGTAATTTTTGTGGGGTGAGGTACAAAGGAACAGAATTGCACACAAGAATACCAAAAGGCTTTAAAAAATTTTATTGTTTTCATTGCAATGAGCTGATCAGTCAAGAATAAAATTATGAGAAACAGTTATAACTTCTACTAATACCTTTATTTTCTGTCATTTTCCTCCTTCCGGCTTCCCTCATTCTTATCAAAATGAGAAATTCATATTTGATATACAATAGCTGTTGAAAATTTAGATCTTGTCTTCTTTTAGAGTATCATTTTTTTGCAGTTCAAAAACTATTAGTAATGTTTTTAGGTTGTATGGCTATTTTGTGTATCACTTTAGCTATAATTTTGGAGACTAATTTTTTGTTTTTGCTCTGAAGGAGCACTCTTTCTTCATAGATATTCAGGTGGGTAGTTTGGTGATTTGATATTGGAAATAATGGGATAAAAGAACAACATCAACAAAACCAATTCAGTTTGACCAAGGGACTCATTTTAATTTTTGCTGTTATTCACTAAGATTTTTCACATAAATATATATGTGAATAACTTGTAAAATGTCCAATACTGGAAAAACCCATTCTGAGAATTTGAAAGTGTTTGCTCTCACTTAAATATCCTGAAATATCCTTCTGAGATGGCTTGCTAGAGTAGTTCTCTGCCTCACACTGAGTCAGTTTGGGAAAGAAGAAAAAATATCCTCCCTGACAGCATTGTCCATAAAATTCTCTCTTCCTCTCCCTTTCCAATACAGTCTTCTCCTTGTGAGGCTGGATTGTTCCCTACCCCACTCATGCTGGTGGCCTGGGTCTCCTTAACTGTCTCCTGCAGCCAGCTCTTTTCCTCTTCCCTCCCCTACCTCCTTGGTTACTAAACTCTTTCTGGAATGTTAAGAAATTTTTTCAAACTAAAACACTGTAATGGTTCCCTTGATAGGCGGCATAATAGTATTTCTCAAAAGAATCTGAGCACTGGAAAAAACCACTCCTTTTTAAAAAAGCTGTCAGGCATACCCTGGCTCCTCAGGATGGGTACCCTGTAACTGAGTATAGCACTCATGTCCATATCTGTGTGTCATTGATGCCAAATCTTTATCCTTGTTGGAAGTGTGTTTCTAAAACTGACCCAGGACCTGTAACCATGTTCTCAGAGGCATTTTCATTTTGAGGAGACCCAGGAATTACTTACTTATGACCAACACTGGCCCCAGGACAGGGTCCAAATGCCTCAGTGTAGTGAAAATCCCTTTGTGATCTGCATTTTTTTTTTTTCTCTCACTGGGATCTCCTTCACATTGACTCTCACACGCCACATTCCAGCTCTTGAATGATAAGCAGCTCCTGAATAAGCTGGGCCATTTCAAGCATTTGCCTTTTTTTTCTTCCTTTCTTCTCTTGATTCCTTCCTTCCCTCTGTTAATTCCTTCCTTCCCTTCTTCCGTCTCTCCCTTCCTTCCTCTCGTAGTTTTGTTGTTGTTGTTGTTAAGATCTCTCTATGTAGCCCCAATTGGCTTTGAACTTAAGATTCTGCTATCTCAGCATCCTGAGTGCTGGGATTACAGGCATGCTCCACCATGCCTGGCTTGCCCACTCTTTGTAAATTGTTCTTTGGCAATGATAACTCCCCACATCTACTCTACCCATCTGTAACACTACCTTCTAGACTCAGCCTTTTCTGAAGATACCATCTTGAAGGATATTAAAATCTCCCAACTTAGCTGGGACTATTCCCCACACAGGGATTTTTTTGTCACCATTAAACTATCCCCCAAAATTTAGGGACTTAAAACAGTAGCAACAACATTATTTATCCTCAGTGAGCTAGAAAACTAGGAGAGCCTCAGCTGGGACCCCAGGCTGTACATCTCTCATAGGCTTTAGTGCTTCCTGATGCCTCACATACTCTTGACAGGGCTCAGTTTCTCCCAGGTTGTTGAGCTGAGGCCTTGGTGCCTCTTGACCTGTTCTGTTGTCCAGGGGATTCTCTTGACAATTTGCTTCAATAGCAGAAGAGGTTGGGGGGTTGTGGAGAGAGGGCGAAGAAGTGGGAGAGGGAGAGGGAGAGGGAGAGAGAACACATCCACTTTTGTAACTGAATTGCTGTGGTCTGATCCTTAGAAGAAAGGCACTACTCCAGCCCACATCCAAGGGCAGTGGGTTACATGAGAAGTGAGGAAGTGAGGACTGTGTAAAAAGTCTGTTGACCATAGCCTGTAGGACACCCTTGGGCAGGCCCCGGTGAAGAAGTGACCGTCAGATGGGATGCTGCTTGTCCTTTTCATCTCAGTTTCCTGTTCTACTAGTACAGACATCTCGGTGCTATGTCTGTGATCCCAGCCTTTTAAGAGAGGGATATTTTAAATAATCCAGCTCCTAAATGACATTTGAAAGTCAACTCCCTCATCTGATCTTCAACTGAAAAAAAATGCTCTATTTTGGTGCTGAAAGAACTCTCTGTGTTGGACTTACAAAGTAAAGACGATACAGCTCACCAAGACAGTGCATTTCTTTTTTTTTTTTGAAACAGGGTCCCACATGTAGTCCAGGCTGGCCTCAAACTCAAGATCCTCCTAGCTCAGCCTTTTGATGCTGAAATTACAGGCATACACCACCATGCTTGACTTTGAGACAGTGCATTTTTTTTGAGGTTTGCAAACGTAATTTTGACTATTTGCAATTTTGGAGTTCAGATCCTGAATTCAACTTATAACCTGGAGTGACACAAGACCTGTATTTTCTAATGCGGCCCTGTAAAACTCTGTTGCCTTCATTTACTTTCTTCAGTTTGAGCTGGGGGCTATTTGACAGCCTGGTCCAAGCCTCAATCATATCCAGCACCAGTTCTTTGACTTTCTCCTTTAAAAAAATATGTACTAATTTGGTATCTTTCCTTGTGTCCTTAATGCATCAAGTACTAAATTTACTAGGCAGTGCTAGTGTTTTAATAGTTGAGATTGTTACAGAACTTTCTCTGAAGTACATGCTTAAAAACACTGGCATGGATCTATGATACCTGTAATTTCTGTGTTATTTTACTGGTTAGTTAGGGCATTAGCAATTTTTGACCTTGAATCACAACTCTACTTTTCTCTCCACAGTTTCCAAATATTTTGTCCTTTTAAGTCAAGAGAATTGCCCTGATTTTATGATGACATTTGGGTACGATATTTAAACTGTTAAAAGTTACAAAAATGACCCTTTGGTATTAAATATAATAAATGGCTCTGGATTGAAGGCATGCACAGGTTCTCCTATCTGAGCTTTGTGAGCCCGATCTGCTCCGGTTGCATATTCTCATTGTAATTGAATTCCATGACATTCTCTCATCCCCAAGAGTATGCCAGCCCATGGAAATCCTCACGGCCTGTGTTGGTGTATACCGTGGGTCTTGTGAGATTGTGGTTTGTATCTCTCAGTTAGTGTATGACACTTGCAGTGCTGCTGGTCACCACCAATCCTGAAAAGACAAGGATGCCTTTGCAAGAAAACAAACCAAACAAAAGTAGATTTTCCCCCAAGAAATTTATAGCAACCTTCAAATAAAGGGGACAGAGTGACTTCTGCAATGGGTATATCTTTGCTCAGCTGCCTCTTACCAAGAATATTTCCTTCTTTATTCATGTAAAATATTCATTTGCACTGTGTTCATTTTTTCTGGCTTGTATTTGTTTGTAATTCTAAAATACTATTGTGCTCAAGTGTTTTAAATTGGACTACTAACTCCTCAGTAGTAGAAATGACTCTCTTTTCATTCTATTGTGATACTGTGGATATTTTCCCCCATTTTGTTCCCAGTATAATACTGTTCAAAACATATTTTCAAGTAGGAGTCAGCACCTAGAAGTTGGGGGGGAGGTGGACTAGATTTATTGGTGGATGTATTAGAGTAAATCAGAGATGATGGGCTGGAATAGATCTGAACTCTGGTAGGGAAGGATGAACATGTATTCAGAAGGCTTTATAACAACATTCACTGATACTCTATATGGGTAAAAATGAGTGCCAGGCTTTCCTTTGACCTCCTAAATGCACCAAAGTATGTTTCTGCCGTGAAATTGTACTGTGATATTTTCTGGTTGTGATTCATTCGCAGTTTAATATGCTTCTAGTTCTGGCTTGACTTTTCCCTTAGGAAGAGCCAAAAATCTCTTCATTATAATATAGACAGTGTACTGCACTTTGAATACAAATTTATCCATGTTCAGACTAATTTTTCTTGTGATTGTCTCTACCCTGGAGAAGTGCCTTTAATGAATTACATACAAATTGTGTAATTTAAGAAGTTAATTTGGTTTTCTGGTTACACAGGACTAAAAACAGCCCTTGTAGAAAGAGATGATTTCTCATCAGGGACCAGCAGCAGAAGCACTAAATTGATCCATGGTGGTGTGAGATATCTTCAGAAGGCCATCATGAAGTTGGATATTGAGCAGGTAATTGTGTATGCTGGTTGTTAAACAAAAATTGCAGCTATGCTTTTTCTACCCAATTAAATCAGGCTCTTTTTTTTTATGGCTTTTAATATCTCTTCCTGTTGGAAATACTATTTAGTATATACTGCTGGAATATCTTTCAGGAAAGGTGTATTCTTTCTTTATAGTATTATGTTTATGGGTAATCAGAATTTTTTTTCTACACAGGCATGTCAAAGTAGCAGATTTACAAAATCACTTTTGGATGTGTTGCTTTTTAACAATTGTGATTAGGTTTTTGACAATGGCCACCAAATTGCTCCTTCACAAGCAGTTTCATGGAGCTGTGTTGTAATGCAGGGGGAGTGCCAAATTGATCCTCTTAACTGTAGCTGCAATCATAGGCTCATATTGTCACTGACATATTCCTAGGGAAAAGATGATCTGAGTCATGCTTTTCCTATGTCACACGTTATTGTGTCCAGTCTGCCACCATTTGAAAACTGCCAAGGCAGTGTGGAAAATGACATTTCCCAGAGGGGTAAAAAAAAATCAGTAGTACTTCTTATCTGCTTTTCATACATGAAAAACATACAGCACTGACTTGACATTGTCAAGTTTTGAATGTCCCCCTTTTCTCTTGACAAGTCAGTTTAGAATCTGTCCCCTTTTCTTATGTTTCTCCTCAGCATCATGATGCATGCAAAGAAAACAGCACAGAATTTAAAATCAGCTAACTTAGGATGTGTTTTAGCTTGTTCATTCATTACATATGAGCCTTCTTGTGTGTAAAATTAGTATTATAATAACAATGCCAGCTCTTTAGAGAGACATAAGAAGGACTACAACCTTCTTTATAATCTGTAAAATATGTGCAAAACTCATCTTTGCTGGGATCAGTGAAGGCAAGAAGGAAACTTAACATGAATTTGAACAATCTGTTATCTCCTACCTGGAGAAAATATTATGGGAAAATGAGAAAGGGAGACAATACAGAGAATGCAAGATAAATGGTTACAATAATCTTGTAACGCAAGTCAGGAAAATATCTTACACCTAGGAACTCTGACAGCATGTTTTTCTCCTATGCAAATACAGTTAAGGCTTCTAAAAAATCTTTGAGGGTGACAGCATGATGTATCATTAGAAATTTGATTAGGAGGGAGCTATCCTCACTCACAGGTAGAGGTTTCTGTGTATCAATCAGTTGGCAGGGTGTCTATTTGCCATTTGAAAATATTATGATCTGTTACTGCCAAACTAATTTTCTCTGTTTTGATTTTCAGTATAGAATGGTAAAAGAAGCCCTTCACGAGCGTGCCAACCTACTAGAAATTGCTCCCCATTTATCAGCTCCTTTGCCTATAATGCTTCCGGTTTACAAGTAAGCCCTTGGTATTATCTGTATACTATTTGCTTATCTGAGGTTAATAGCAGAACACAGTTTTAAATTCACATTGAGGAAAATACTCCCTCAATGTGTATTTCTTAATGTGATTTTAATTACTCCTAATCTTTGGTCCTTTTCAAACATTTTCTTTGGTGTATTTAAAAGTATGGGTATTCTTTAATACTCTCTGTGGATCCTGTCAAAGGACCAGAGTTTGAAAGCAGAGGATGAGGTATTCTGTATTTATAATTAGTAGCATTTTATTCCAGTTTCTGAGAGTGTATAGATGAACATTTGCACCAATTCATCAAGAGGGTCATATGTAGAGTATAAAATGTAGATTACACAAATATCTTACTGAAAAATCTGGACCAACCATGCAGCAACTGAAAACCTAGACTATTTTGGGTCAGTTAAGTAAAACTGAAATTTGGCTAGGTGGTGTCAGATTATAAATTATAAACTCAATTTTCCTAAGGTTGTTAGTGCTATCCATGAAGTTGCCTAAAGTTGGAAGCACAGGTACAGTAATATGAGAATCAGTCTTGACATGTGAGGCTGACATTGCTACTTGTTTTTAATGCCCCAAGGAATTCTAATACACAGCCAGGACAAGAGCCCTAGAGAAGATCCCATTTAAATTCTCACTGATTCATTTAATTTTATACTTCAGCTAGATACTATCAAAAGTAGTTATGCAGGGCTCCTGTTTCTTTTGCTGTCCATTTCTAGGTATGCATGCTTAGTTTTTCTGGAATGAAATTCTTTGTAGTTTAAGGTGGCATTCTATAATGTTACACTCTGTCTAAGGAACCCTTTCCACTTATGCTGTAGGTGGTGGCAGTTACCTTACTACTGGGTAGGAATCAAGCTATATGATCTGGTTGCAGGAAGTAATTGCCTGAAAAGCAGTTACGTCCTCAGCAAATCAAGAGCCCTCGAGCATTTCCCCATGCTCCAGAAGGACAAACTGGTAGGAGCAATTGTCTACTATGATGGTATGTGATGTTTTGTTTTGTTATTTACAAGATACTTTTCTGTCTTACTGTGATCCCTTAGAATGCTCAGTGCCCCTTACGATGTACTTTAGTGAGATGGTTGTGCATTCTTTTAGTGCTAATTTTACACAGTATATAAATGTCCACACACACATACAGACACCATTTTCTCTAATACTGAAAAACTACTCATAATATTTTGTTTCTAATAGTATTTGTTTTATATGTTCCTTTTCTTCTTCTTTTGTCTCATGGTTGGTTTGGTCCGTTTCTCATCATTATGAATTTGGACTCCACACTCATGCCATTTAATTTGTTATATGTTTGCTGGTGAATCCTTGCCTTATGAATATATTATAATGTTGAAAGAAGCTGAGGATCTGTTAGGTTTTCTAGATGAAACCTCTATTTTCAAGGGGTTATAAACCTAGGGAAAAATGCCCGTTGGGCTGAAATCGACATGTTTTATTTTGCATAGGACACATTCTTGAACCTATAATTTATGTGATGAAGGTAGATGAACATTGCATCTGTTAAGCCAAACCCTCAGGTTTTATTGCTATTGTTAGATGTTTTCTAATGGACTTAGAGTCCATTTGCCAGTGTTCAATGTTAGTTCTTTTGTATGTATGTGTGTATAAAATATAATTTGCACACTTTTATTTGAAGAACTTAACAATATATCTCCAGATGCATCATAAAACAATACAAAACAGGCAAAGCCATTTGTAAAATGTTACTGGTTGTTTTGAATAGTGTATAGGACTGGAAAATAGTCCATGTCCTTATAAATGTTTATAAGGAGATAGCTGGACACAGGTAATTGTCCATATCTTTATGACATAAAGGACTGCTTAGGTTTTATATCTCAATAATCCCCCACCCCTCCTTTATGTGGTATTTTATATTTGGTGCTGGATATCTAAACCCTTATCATGAAGAAATGTTTGTTTGTGTTGCTTTGGGAGAGTTTGATGCTTATGCTTCATATTATGGGATGTCGTCAAGACCACCCCTGCCTTTTTCCCCCTTCTTTTCCATGTACTTTTCTGAGTCAATTCAGCTGTCTGTCAGGCTTTCGTATACAAATGCAAAATGTGTGTGTGCAGACGGGGCAATGGGGACGATACTCAAGAAAATGTCCTAAGAGCAACAATATCAGAAAAATGTTAAGGGTCTTAGACAAACATTAAAAGATAGAAAATTAACAGTTTGCAGTGCCTTCCAGATCTGAACACCATGGGGGGGGCACTTAACTACTTTTTTGGTGCCCTTGATTGAGCCTACATGGCAAAGGACAATGTTCATTGTGAGTGTGCTTTCTCCACATCAGGCCTTTAATGTTAATCCATTGTAGTTTATTGGGTGATTATAGCAAAGAGGTTTGTGGTCCACAAGGAGTAAAAGGCATCCTGGGAAGAGCATCCTGCCTATCCAACATGGAAATGTTTGTGGCCTTTGCCACATACTACTCATTTCTTCCTGCATACACCCTCTCAAATTCTTGTCATGTGACATGTTGGGTACTAGCTAATTTTATTTGTCAGCTGCACATATCTGAATTGCCTAATGAGGATCATTAGTGGATATCATATCTGAATTTGTGACTATTTTTTATATGTTTGATATTGTTAGGAATTATAGATTCTTACTGATTCCACAAGGAAAAGCCAAGGGAAACCTGTGTTTATAGCTTACTATAGGTTGCAAAATTCTAAGTTTAGCAAAGATATTTTAAAAATTTTAAATTATTTAAAATAATTTGAAATTTCTGTTTGGAAATTGGTTGTAAAACTTTAAGTCTCAAACTGAGGGAGTGAAAATAATTCTCATCGGTCATTTTAAAGAAATTATTTGCCTTTTTACCTGAAATGATACAGGCCCAACTCTGTCATATTTGAGGTAAGGGAAGACAAATGAAAGTGTATAGTTCTTTAGCTTCAGAACTGTGTTCACAGATAAAGACAACTCCTCCTTTATTGAATATGGTGTAATGAGCAAATTAAGTATGGATATGGAAATAAGGTAGGAAGGAGCATGTAGGTAAGGGAATGAAATACAATAAATGCATGCTTAGAAAAAGAAGAGAACGTTTCACTTCTTGACTAGAAAAACGGTATTTCCAAAGATTTCAGAGAGAAAAAATATCTTTGCGAATGATAACCATTTCAAACCCAAATGTAAACTTTATAATTTATAAATCTTTCTTAATAAGAAACAAATGCTCTTCTTCATAAATTGTCATTATGAGAATATAAGTCCCCTGTATTATTACAAAATGAACTCAGACTACTTGAAAAAACTTTTTTAAATACTTCAATTCACACATGATTACCTATTTTAAAGTGTGTAGAAATAATTCTTATAACACCTAGAGAGAATTTTGATTCTGATAAGAGAGTAGCATAAGAAATAAAATGAATTTTTAAATGTCACCGAGTTTTAATAACTAAAAACTCTCATTGGTACTGCACAATACTTCAGTACCAATGAAAAGTGAAATATAATGTTATAAAAATATACTGGACAGATTGGAAAACATTTCCATGAACCTGGACTAAAGGCTGAGACAGCCTTTATGGTCACTTCAACACAGAGATATTGGAGCTGTAAGATGTTCCTTTTGAAATATAAATGTACAAAGATCAAAAGATTTTTAAATTACTCACAAGCATAGTTTATTCTGAATAAATTCTGATGGCCATTGCATATGATTAAGGCAAAACTAATTTCCCCCAAAAAGTTCATAAAGTTAGTGGAAAAAACTCTCCATACTTTTTGATGTAGTAATTATATCAGCTATTTTGTGTATGGCATGTGCATGATCCATTACCATATTGTTAACTGTTAAAAACCAAACTGATACTTAAGGAGAAATAACTTCTATCTTTTTAAATGCAGACAGAGTAAAATGCCAAGTCTCTTTGTAAAATCCATATGAGGTGAAAGTTGAGATACTGAGTGACATACCAGGTTTTCCTACTATTGTGTTTAGAGAAAACAAACATATAATCAGCTTATTCACTTCCTGTTTGATATATGTCCTGGTGATTTTCATTTAGCTCCATGGCCCTTTCCTAGTACAGACCCACCAGCTGGCCCTGGCCTTGGCCATTACCACTGATGTGAGGGTGACCAAGCCAATTCTCCTAAGACAGCAAGAAGTGTTGAAGGCATTCTATGCTTGGGTGACCCTGCTGCTGGGGGGTAGCCAGTATCCTCAGAAACTTATTTTGTCTTCTTCTGTGAAAACTTTACTTCAGTTTTCCAGCTCCCAGAGTGGACCTGATGCCGTTCTAGTTGGACTACAGTCATTTGATTCAGTGCACAGAAAATGAGATATAATTAAAAATCATTAAATATTTAAATCCATTAAGTATCCCCATTAAGCCTCTGTAAAATTAAACTGGAGAACAAAATTATAGCTTTAAATTCTTCCTTTCTGCCAGTCAAGGGATTGATAGAGAGAGATGTCTGTTATTTCATACCTGACCATGCTCGTAAGTATTCTTATGCACATATGAAAATAGCAACCTGAAGAAATTACATTGGCTTTTCCCAATGTAAATAAAAGTTGGTTACATCCATGTTTCAAAGGGGGAATTAAAGCCCAGCTTACACTAGAATATTCATTTTTATTCCAACCTAAAACTCACAGCATACAAATAGATGAATTCAGCTCGTGAGAGAGCAAAGCCAATTTAATCTCTGACTCCCCTGAGGTAAATGTAGTTCACGGTCCTGCCCCCACCCCAACCTCAGTTATAATCCCTGGCTCCTGGAGGTAAAAATGCACTGAAGTGAGGAAAATTTTGCAGCAGGATATAATGATCCAAAATGACAGGGACAATAATGACAATGAATTTCATGTCTCCCAGTCATGAGCTGGAGATGCTTGACTAGGCTGACTTATACAATTAAATTGTTACAGGTACAGCAGGAGACGCAGTTAGCTGTGTGCTTTGGAGAACGATGCCTCTGGCAAAAGGCATATTGTGGAATCCCGACTCTTTTGTTAGGAGCAAACTATTACTCCTTTAGGCATGCACCCAAGATTGTACACTTTAATAAAAGAAAACCTGGGTTAAAGACAAGTCTTTTAAGGTGTTGATTTTATCTACATTGAAAGCTAAAAAAAAAAAAAATCAATTACTCAATACCACAAGGTGGTTTTTTTGCCATGTTTCCATTGAGTTTCTGCAACTTAAGTCAAATTTAAAGACGATGTCTATGATCCTCATTTACATAATTTGTAAATACGTTTTGAAGTAAGTGGGGGTTATCTTTGAATCGGACAGACATTAATTTCTTCACAGTAATACAAATAGATTGAATAGGCAACTGAACATTGTGGATTTAAACAAAGTATCAGTGGCCATTTTGCCATTTTGAGCCACTTCTGCTGCTTAACATAATTCTTTTTGTAAATTGGAATGGCAGCTCCAAAGTGGATTGTGTGCTCCTCTGGGTTCTAGGAAGAACACATTAGAACTTCTGCATAAGTTATTTTTTTAAAATTAGTTTTGTTATAAATTTTCAGTCTTGTGTATGGTTCAAATGGGTATAATTACAGTGGTCTGTACATGTAATTTATAAATAAATATACCTATTGGGGATATATGCTGACATATTACTCTTGGAAGGCACAGTTTTTCTTTTTTGGGTTACTGGGTGCATAAATTGTCATCATTTTATTTCTTTGATAATTGGCTAATTTAAATGTTTTCAAGATAGATGTGTTTAGCAAGAGGTAAAAGTTCTTTAGAAGGATAAATATTACCAGATCTTTTCCTTCATTTCCCAAGGTTCATTTTCTACAAACTTTGATGTGGCTAAAAATAAACAAACAAAACTAGATTAAAAGAGAATATTACCTTAGGGACCTTAAAATTATCAAAATTGGCACAATTCATTAAAAACTGTAGTTACTATTTTTATTTTAATCTACATCTTAAAAGAAAAAATTAACAAATTTATTAAGTTCTATTTGCCAACAATTC